GTGTTAGCATGTTGACTGGACTGGGAAGTTTCTCGAGGTTTTATGGACAGTCCCCCAGTGGCATTGACTGGAAGCCAGAAGCCACAGAGAATTCAGCAGTGACATGCAGGCGCCTGGCTTGATGCTGGACACCTGATGAACAGAGAATCCACACAGCCTGGTTTAGAGAGCTGAGCTGAAGAGTGTGGAGATGAGTTCCAGCCACCAGCTGACGCTGGCACCCACTCTGATCACAGAGGTAGAAAAAGGCTTCTAGGGCTGGGGATGGGCTCAGCTGGTAGGGTGTTTGCCACTGTAGCCAGTCAGCGAGCTCCAGATTTGGTGAAAGACTTTATGTCAAAAATAAAGTGGATGTGTCATGTTAGGGGGTACAATTCAAATCAGCAGCCCTTCTGAGCTCAGCTTCCTGAGAGATCCATCTGGAGAATCCAACAGCAAGAGGCTAGCAAGATGGCTGGCTTAGCATGTAAAAGTGCCTGCCACGGCACCTGACAAACTGTGATCACTACAACCCACGTGATGGAAGGAGAGAACCTTCCACCCTCCAAATTGAGAGAGAGAGGTGGCCTCAAGTCCCCTGAACTCAGCCTCACCAGCTGAGAAACTCGGGGTGAGACCTTTCTCCCCACAGGCTCAGTTTCCTCTCCTCTGACCTCCTCCTCACACAGGACCAATGGCATCCGCCCAGTCCCCCCAATGTGGGTCTTGAAGGGGGGTGCAAGGAGACAATTCAGCCTCTCCTAGAGTGATGCAGAGTCCAGGGTCCCATGATCACCCTGCAAGCATTCTTGGGAGGGGATGGAGACTGATACTGAAAGTCAAATGCCCTTCTTCATGAATTCCCTAGCCTTTCCACACAATACAGACTCCATAAGCGTCAGGACCTTAGGCAAGACAGGGAGGAAATAAACGTGACCACATCCCTCACTGGCTAGCACTGTATGCTCAGTCCTCCCACACAGTAGGAGGCTATGGAGATGGTTCTCTGTACATCCCAAGCGTGAACACACACAGCGAGCCTCAGGCAGAGGGACAGATGTGGGCAGTGGAAAGCGTTTTTTGACACTGGAAGGAATCCTGTGTCCTGACCTGGGAGATGACCCTGCCTTGTTTACCTACTGTGTGAATCTGGTAAAGTCTCTAACTCTCGAGCCCTCCTCAATCCTTAATAAAAAGGGGTAGAACTGAGTGATGGGGTGTGTGTATAGGGTGTGTGTGAGAGGTGAAATCAGTTTATGGACACGGTGTCCTAATTTGTAACTGTCTGTATCTTCTATAAACAGGAACACTCGATACTCTTGTGTTGTGGATGGCTGAGGTAATGCATGTAAAGTGGGGAGACCTGTGTGTGAGTCAGGCTCAGCAGGTGTCCCCTGTAATTGTCACCATGGTGACCATCATCGTCCTCATTTGCAGTTCCTTTTAGCTCCAAATCCTGTGACCTTCTGAGCTGTCTCCTGTGCAAGGAGACTGGTAAAAATAAGGCGGCCCTGCTTTGAGTAAACACACCTTCTCATAAGGACAGGAGGCCAGTAATTGCCCCTAAATAATCGCTCCAACTTTACCACAAGCTGTCGAAAGGCCCTAATTGGCCAATCAGTAACAACTGCTGCCGGCTGCATTAGGGTGATTTAGCGATGGGGCTCTGTGCATATGAGGACCTCAGTGATTACACAGTGGAGGTGATATTTCTCCCTCCATGGGAGCACTGGTGTGTGGTGCCCCATAATCTCACTCACGAGTTAACGACCCACTGGTTGAACGCAGCCCAGAAGCAGCACTGAGCAGAGACTTGTGGGTTTCCTCTTTCCTAGGAGAGACTGTTCCTGCAGAAACACCTGCAAGCCCACCAGAGCTTGGCCACACCTCTTTGCTGTGCTCACTCACTGAGTGCAAACCGGACCAGGAGTACATAGTGGGGAAATCTCTCCCCAGTATATTTTTCAATTGCTCCACCTTCGTGACACCAAGCAACACTACCTGCCGCACCCTTCATCCTGAAGAGGTTTCTGAAGTCTTAAGTCTCTGTGGCCCACAACCCCCACCTAAGAGCAGTTGTAAATGGTACCTGGGGTGACCTTCATGGTTCCACAGGATCCCAGCAGGGGGATGTGCCTCTTACCAGTGCCCTGCTTCTCATTCCTCCCGTACATCAAGTGGAGGGCCTCTGCTAGCTTCCCAGATCACCTGTTCTGACAGACCTGACCTCCAGTTCACCACTGGGGAGGGCAAAACTAAAACAAAAGCTAGGCTTGATTCTATTTTTATTTGTCACTGTGTTTTGTTTATTCACGGTTAATTGTAAATGGTACCAATCATACATTTATGGGTTAATGTAAAGTTATCTTTAAAAACAAGTATGGGAACTGTGGAGATGGCTCAGTGGGTAAGAGTGTTTACTGTGCAAGATTGAGGACTTGAGTTCAAATCCCCAGGACTCCTGTAAAAAGCCAAGCATGGCTGTGTATGTTTGTAACCCCAGCCTTGGGGGATGCAGGCAGGTGGATCCTTATACCCATAATGTTCAGTATGTGTGTGTATGCATACGTATGAGGCACAAGTGTGCCATGTGTGAAAGTCAGAGGACAACTTGTGGGAATCTATTCTTTCCTTCCACCACATGGTCCCAGGAATAGAACTCAGGTTGCCAAGCTTTGTGGCAATCACCTTTACCCACTGAGTCATCTCTGTGGCTCTCATGCTTTCTTAATTACTACAACTGTATAGAAAACTCAGTCGATGAAGAGATCAAGAAACATGAGTCTTCCAACATTTTCTTTTCTAAAAGACCTCCACTATTCTAGATCCTTCATGGCCATGTAAATTTTAAGAGCAGTTTGTTGGCTATCACCTCTGCAAAGAAGGCACTGTGATTTTAGCAGCTTTAAGTCTGTGTCACTAGGAACCATTGCTGTCTTCACCCCTGGTGCCCAAGCAAGGGATGTCTTCCCATCTGTCTTGGTGTTTTGAATTTTCCAGCTATGTTTTATATTATATTTTGTTTTGTTTTCCAAGACAGGGTTTCTCTGTGTAGCATCTCTGGATGTCCTGAAACTCACTGTAGACCAGGCTAGCCTCAAACACAAAGATCTACCTGCCTCTGCCTCCCAAGTGCTAGGGTCAAAGGTGTGCACCTCCACACATGGCTAATGATTTGTATTTCTGAGGCTGTGTACTTGCTCTTACTGACATGTGAATGGTATTTTTTTTGATCATTTTTAACCTGTATTTGCCAGCTGATACACACACATCCTATGGACTTTTAAATACTGAGTTGTATCCCGAATTTAGCCCATGTGTTCCAGTTTCTCTGGGAATGTATGAGTTTTCTGTGTGGAGGCTAGTGTCATCTTCAGTTACAGACAACACTGTTATCTTTTTAACCAGGTCCTTATGCTTTTAGATTGTTTGTAACCAGATGCACTGTCTGGGAAATCTGTTCTAAGGAATGAGGGTGGTGAACACACAGCTTTCCTGACTCAAGGACATCAGCTATCACTGACTGTGGTGTAAGCTACAGGGTTTTTTCATTTTTGTTTTTGAACTTTTTTCTAAGCCATCCTAGATTTTCATTAAATCCCAAGCCCTGATGGACATCAAGAGAGACCAACAGGAAGGCTGGACTTATTTATTTTTATTTTATAAATATGAATGTTTGTCTAATGTTATGTATATGCACTATGTGCATGCAGTGCCCTTGGAGGTCAGAAGGGGGCACTGGTTCCCGTGATACAAGTTTGAGCCTCTTTGTGGGGGCAGTTGGTCACTGATCTGGGTCTTCGGTAAGAGCAGCCAATGTTCTTAACCACCAAGCCATCTCTTCAAACCTTTTTTATTACATTCTTTAAAATATTATCTTGTGTCTACAGCCATGCCACCTTGAACTCACCTAGTTGCGTCTGATCTTGGAAGTTAATCACGGTCAGGCATGGTTAGTAGTTGGATGGCAGAATGCCTGGGAATATGAAGTGCTTTAAAAAGAATTTATTTTATGTGTGCAGGGGGGAGGGGAATGGCAGCACACATATGCCATAGGGCAAGTGTGGCTATCAGAGGACAACTTGAGGGAGTGAGTTTCCTTCCATCGCGTGTGTCCCAACGACTGAACTCAGGTCATCAGGCTTGGTGGCAAGCAGCTTTACCAATAAGTCATCTTACTGGCCTGAAAGAAAATCTCCAATACTTATTCAGGACAACTTTTCCAGGCATAGGACAAAAATCCAGCCCATGGTAGAGTAAACAAACAAGAAAAGAACAAGAAAAGCTGTCATGTATAGGACAGTCTGTTTGCTTCGTGTTTGGGGAGTGGTGAATAGAAATGTCATCAACACAGTGTGTCTCTGTGCTTGTGCTGCCACCAGCATCCAGGGTGGCTCCTTCCCCTATTTAATCCTCTCTGGAAACTCCCTCACAGACACACCCAAAGCTGAGTCTCTTAGGTGATGCTAAATCTAACCAGCACACCCTCTGTCCTGTTTACAGGCTGCCCACAGCCTTGGTAGCTCCCTGGACCCTTTTTCCTCACCTTGTTTCCACCCAGGGCTTAAGCTAAAGCACCTTCGAAGGTTGCATGGCCATCCCTGAGCCAATCACAAGGGATGGAGTGCCATGAATGGCGAGGCCTGAGCCACATGCCCCTCCCACTTACTCCACGGGAGGGCAGTCAGCCTACCCAAGTTGGACATAAGAGGAAGGTCAGTCACCTCAGGAAACAACAGTCTTTCTATGAGCAAATGAGGGACTAGGCACCAGAGAAGAATAAGCAGCAGCCTGTGCTCCCACCCTTGCCTGTGAAGCCTCTCTGTGTTCCAGCCCTGGTGCATCACTGGACCTCTGTGAGCCTCAGTTTCCCGGTTTGTAGATGTTGGCCCTGCCCTTCTTGGCTCTGTCTGAGGCCTGCAAGGCAGTGAACTGGGAATCAGTGTCCAAACTGTGCTGGGTGAAGGAGTGATTTCCACACAGCCTCTCTGCTCCACCTCTGCCCCTCTGTCTCCTCACAGAGCACCTGAAGAAGCCACTGGAGGACTACATGGCCCTTTTCCCCAGTGTGAGGATTCTCCGTACCAAGAAACGAGAAGGCCTCATAAGGACCCGAATGCTGGGGGCTTCAGCCGCCATCGGAGACGTCATCACGTTCTTAGACTCGCACTGTGAAGCCAATGTCAACTGGCTCCCCCCTTTGCTTGGTAAGGAGTGGGCACCCTGGAGTGGGTGTGTGGCCTGCCACCCCAAGGTGACACTAGGACTTCTGATTGCCTGAGAACACCCAGCAGAGCTCCAGGCCCCATAGGGGGCTCAGAAGTCCAGACCTGTCCCCTTGTTTCATAGAGTAGGAAAGTGTTAAACATTGGTGACCAGATGACTTTCCTTGGATAGCTTTAAGTCTGTTGGAGAGCAAGCCAAAGCTTTCTACTATAGAGAGGCAAATTACAGGGCCTGGGGGATATAGCTCAGTTGGTAGAGCACCTTTTTAGCACACATGAGTCTCTGGGTTCAATCCCCAGTATTGCACAGCATAAATGAAGAATGGGGACACACTTGTGTCACCCCAGCACTTGGGAGGTGAAGGCAGAGGGATCAGAAGTTCAAAGTCATCTTCAGCTAAATATTGAGTCTAAGGCCAGACTGGAATTCATGTCTTAAACAAAAGAACCAAATTGGGGGGGGGGCATGTCATCAAATCAAATGAAAGTAGTTACTGCTTAACACCAATACTGTGGTCCAGGTTTCAGAAAAGATCACCTAGCCTCACAAGGGTGAACAGGACTGAGCTGGTCTTGTTTGTAGCCAGAGAAACTGAAGTTGAGATGTTCAGTGGCTTGTTTGTCCCCTTGGGCCATTGGTGTCACCCTATGTCAGGCTCCAGAGTCTGTTCTTTCCCACAACTCCACACTGCTTCCCGGGTGCCTTTCCTTTCAGATGTCCCGGAGGGAGGCACAATCCAGGCTCCAAAGCCTGTGGGTAGAGCGTGGGTATGAGGGGCTTACAGTGGAGGAAGACCAGGTCAGGACTTGAGAAGCTCCACCCAGATGGAGGCAGTGAGCAAGTGCGGCCAGGCAGACACCTAAGTCGGATGGCCTGTTAGGACTGAAAGACAAGGCAAGATGCGGCCAGGGCAAGCTGTGAGGTTATCACCCTCAAGAGAAAAGCAAACTCCTCCAAAGCAGAGGGTAGGCCGTCCAGCTCAGAGGACAAATAAATGAGCATCACAATTCCCCAAAAGACCCATGATATCCCAGCCAGACACTCTGACCCAGACATGCTGATTATGGTGGCCGGAGAGGGCAGCTACCAAGTGTTATCTGGTCCAGCAACCACAGCAGCAAATTCCACTGTGCGGGTGAGGACCGAAAAGGCAGCCCATACAACCCCACAGGACAACCCAGCTGTTTTTGTTTTCTTGAGCACATCACTGAGAACTTCTCTGGATCATGCACTCTTGACAATGGGGCCCAGAATCTCACTAGGCTGAGAGAAAGAGCAGAATTTCTGGTAAACTGTGTATTTAATTAAACCAAGCAATGGCCTGCATCTGCCTTTCATTCCCAAAAGAGAGAAGGAAAAGGCCTCAGCCTTAGCAGCCGGCACATTAGCAGTCCGAGCGGAGCAACCGTGTAGAGGGTCCTTTCCTGAGAGTGAAGAGGTAGACCACTGAGTTGAGCTTGTCTAAACAGCCCTTAACTCTGTTTCTATGGAAATGGGTGAGGGCTATTTTCATCCTTGGCAGAAGGAAGACACATCCCCTCTCGCTCTTCCCTTCACTCCCCGTAGAAACACAAGAACCTTCATGTAGATCTCAGCAGTGGCTTTTGTATGTGAATCCATTAACACCTCCTAGCTTGGCTGGCTCTGCCCTCACTAATGATCAGACATTACTGAGCCTGAGAACTCAGCCTGGTAGGAAAGCTACTCCGAGTCATCATCTCCTCTTTCTTCATCATTGTCATCATCCCCGAGGCTTTAAGAGTCCCTCTGAGTTTAGGCCACATCTGTACTTGGATTTGATTTACACAGTCAGCAGGCATTCTTACCTACATTTTGCATGTGACAAAAAGGACAGAGGAACTCAGGCTCAGAGTGTCTCTTGTGAGTGTCATAGAAAATGGGGAACACAGGCATCTCAGTCTTCAGAGACCCTTGGGGTGGGGCATTTCATCCTCCAGTGCTCAGCAAAGAAGCCAAAACTCTTAAGGCATCAGCCAGCCATGTCCAAAGCTGCACTATGAAGGGGTGACCTTAGGATGTGAACCTGGTTGTTCAGTACCCAAACAGGTTTAGCAGGGTCAGCTGTCACCCATCCTTGGCAACCAACTATCTATGGAAGTGAACTCACCTCAGAGGTCTAATTAGGATAGGGACCCTTCTCCAGATCTTTCCCTCAAGGCCTCTAAGCATCATGAAGACACACTTTCACCCAAGGGAGTTTGTCCATTGGCAGATGGAAGCTATGTACCAGGGATTCTGACTCAGTGAGTGAGGAGAACAATTTAGGGGTAAAACTCACCCGAAGTACATCTAGCACTGGTCATGCTACTGTCCATATGGGGATACATGCTGCAAGTGGTATTTCTGTAAGTGTGGTTGGTGTGTGTGTGTGTGTGTGTGTGTGTGTGTGTGTGTGAATCTGTGTGTATGTGTGTGTGTTGCATGCTAGACAAAATGCATGCTCTAACACTAAGGTACATCTCCAGTCTCTGCAACTGTTTAAACCATGTGTCACAGTTGGAAATGCAGTGGCCATCTCAATCTAGTACACACCTGCATACTTAGTTGGACTAAATCATGCTTCCTGACATCATTTTGCCTATAACAGAATCTGCTGTCTCATGAAGTAAGGTTAATAGTCACTGTTCTCCAGGCGTGCATACATGTATGCATGTACACATGCACTCATGTTCACATGCACACACGTACACACACTCAATTTCACCACTCACCTTCCCACCTGTAGGTCATGCCTTCAGATTAGAAAACAAGCACAAATTCTGTTTTGTGAGAAATGCTGTATGGCTTGATGAAATGTGGGCCCTTCCCTTCTCTAGCCCTCTAGGGCCCACATTGCAAGACTTGAACATGAACCATGAACCTTGACCCTAAGCAGCACAGCCCATCTGTCCCTTGTGGCAGATCAGTGACCCCACAGTGGTCCCCTTGAAGCAGACAGTTCCCTGTGGAAACAACATAGGGTAGATTGGACCAGCACTAGAATCCTGTTGGTAGATCAGGCAAAGTAAACCAGTTAGCTCCTCCAAGGCCTGAAAGGGACAATGACAAGGACTGAGTCAAGGTCCCATTTGCTGTCTTGAATCTCTCAGCCTGTAGCATTCCATGGGGTGGCATGCTCTGCCTGCATACCTTCTGGCGTGGGCACCCAGAACTTCCAAGGGATGTCTGCTCCCTCTTTCATAGCTTGGGCTATTTAAAAACTCAAATCTGAATACTCTTACTGCTGACCACAGCCATGGGTGCCCATGAGCAATTGAGGACACACAGACACTAGGAAACCTGGCTGCTTTGAGCCATGAGTCACAATCAGGATTTTGCAATAAGGAGTGTGGCAAGGCCAGAGTAGGGGTCCACATAGAAGAAAATTAATGTATGCCAACAGCAGAACCATACATTCATAGCCCTATAATTGGACATTTTCAAATATTGTGTTATCCAAGCCTTTTAACAACCTCCAAGGCAGACCCTCCCACCCTGCCTCACGGAAGAGACCCTGGGGCTTGAAGATGTTGTCTGCGGAAGTCCCTCTTGTGGTGCTGGGTCTGGAAGGAAGCCAATCCTTACAAAAGCCTGCAGACTCCAGGCACATGCCTGTGATCGCAGCACTTGGGAGAAGGATAAGGACTTCAAGGCCAGCCTTGGCTACATAGTGAATTGAAGTGGAGTCAAGAGAATCATTCCCAAGCTCATCTTTGAGTCCCAGGCCAGCCTGGGCTACGTGAGACCTGTTTAGGAAAAAAAAAAAAAGCAAAAAAACCACACAAACCGTGCAGTGTTCTTCGTCTCTGTGATTCCTAAGGAGCTGTCCAGAATGGCCATCCTGGAGAACATTCAGAGTAAGTGCCCCGTAGAGCAGGAGCTGCCCTCTGCTGCTTCCACTAATGGGCATCTCTCTACCACCTCAGACCGAATTGCTCGGAACCGAAAGACCATCGTGTGCCCAATGATCGACGTCATCGACCACGATGACTTCCGGTATGAGACACAGGCCGGGGACGCCATGCGGGGTGCCTTCGACTGGGAGATGTATTACAAGCGAATCCCCATCCCTCCGGAGCTGCAGAAGGCTGACCCCAGTGACCCATTCGAGTAAGTACAACTGGTCTAGGCTCATACTGGTGGTCACCCGGGGCCCCTCTCAACACACTGGGAATCTCCACCTATCCTCATGTCCAGTGTAGAGGGTCCATGGTCCTGAGCCCACTCAGAACCCAGCACCAGTCACCTAACAACTAAAATTATCCAATTCCCTCACACCCCTTTCTTCACTGCAAATCTTGGATATCCCAAACACACACCAACCACCTCTCTTTGCCATGGGTCATGTTTCAAGTACAGCAGCCACCCTAAACCACCTACCTAGGGTTGATATCACCTCGGGTGACACAACAGAAATAGAGAGTAGAAGCTGGGTGAGTGGTTTTCTTCTTAAACAGGGTCTCATGTAACCCACTGACATTTGCCTAATATATCGCCGCAGTTCTTTCGTGAGGGAAGCAGGGTGGACGGTCAGCGATTTGAACCTGTGGCTTAGAGGCAGAGCGAGCCAGTGGCTCCGAAGCCTATCACAAATTACCAGGGACTGCTGCCATTCCACAGGGGCAAAGTCAGGATAGCAGCAGCTTGGCTCCACCCTCTTTGAAGGCTGAGGTGAGAAGGACACCGAAGTACTTGCAGGATGGCCTGTGGTGTGTCATGCCCTCAGTAACGCCCCAGGGCCCCTCCCCACCTTGTACGAAGGTCCCCTCCCCCTATCACAAAGAAGGCTTAGGAGGCACATGGTTAGGTGCAGCCCTGTCACACCAATCTCTGCCATAAGACCTGGGGCCAAGCAGCGGCATGAAGGCTATCCCCAAGCATACTGGCTTGAAGGGTTGGATTTTCCCATCATCAGACCCAGTCACCGATAGGTTTTCACACCACAGACATTAGGCAGCTCCTGCTCGGCGCTGCTCTGAGTGAAGCACCATGGTGTCCTCTGGTACCTGTTATGTTAACATCCTCACTCTTTGACCCCTCTGTGTGTCATGTCTGTGCCTTGGTGGTGTAGTTCCCTCCTCCCTGAGCTGTTTTCCCTCAAAAGAAAACCTCTTAAACACCTTTTCCTTTTAGCATCCTTCCTTCCTCCCTATCCTTGCCTCTTCACTCCCAGGACTGGAAGCGGACACAGTCTTTGCCTTCCTTCATGCTCTTGTCTGTACTTCCCAGAGGCCTTTGCTATTCCCCATCTGTCACTTGGATGTCACTTGGATCCCTCTGTGCTGAGATGACCTCTTCACCACACCACTGTCCACCAAAGGACAGTGGTTTGTTTCCTGGCCCCCCCAGGGCCTGCTTCATGGGTGGCATTCAGTGATTAAACCAATGAATGAATGAATGAATGAATGAATGAATGAATGAATGAATGTTCATCCTTGCTGCCAGAGTAACTAGTAGGACTGAGCTGTCATTCTATGGCCAGCACAGCCGAGCATCTGCTGAGCTCCGTGAGAGAGAATCCTCAAAGGTGCCAGCTCTAAACCAGGTGCCTCGCCCCTGGCCCAGAGGCTGCTTCCATAGGCCCAGTGAGGTCCCAGAAAGCTTCGTTATTTTTCAATCTCTAGAAGGTTCTGCAGCACCTTCATGCTAAAGACAACTGGTTCAGACCCTGTAACTAAGGGGAAGGCTAGAGACAGATGTGCCTGTGACGCAGCCGTGAGACCTGTGGGGAGGGGGTGCTGCTGCAGATGTCACTTTTCAGACACCCTCAGGTGTTAATCACATCAAGGGAGCCCTTAGGTTAAAATGCAGTGATTTACAAGAGGAACTGTCAGGCAAGAAGGCCAGGCCCCCACCCATGAGGCCTTGGAGTCCCCAGCAGACAAGCTGGGTTTCTGGGGACACCATCTGCTAGGAAGCAGGGCTTCTGACTGCATGTCCTCATACCATGCCCCTTCTCTGACAGGTCTCCCGTGATGGCTGGAGGGCTGTTTGCTGTGGACCGGAAGTGGTTCTGGGAGTTGGGCGGATATGACCCTGGCTTGGAGATCTGGGGAGGGGAGCAGTATGAGATCTCCTTCAAGGTGAGTCTCTTCTCCCACGTGCAGCTGCTGTGACTTCTCTGCCCCTGGGGTAGAGGAGTCGGCAGCTAGCTAGCCACTCCCTGAGGAAAGGGGCAGTAAGAGGGTGGAAGGGACCTTCATGCTCCCCCATCTCAGCCATAGATGTGATGAACATTTGTTTCCACTTGGTGTGGCAAAGCTGTGATGGAGCCACCCACCAGCAATGGGAAGATGATGAAGACATGCAAACCTAGGCCTCAGGCCTTGTAGCCTCACAGATGCCCAGCTGGCCTACATGGTCACCTTCTCAAGTTGTCCCTCTTGTGCCTGTCACAGCAGGAGTTGGCAGAGACCTCAATCCAAGTTCTGTTCCTATCACCTGGTGGCTGTGACTTTGAGCAGTTTAGATCACTTCTCTGGGCTTTGCCTCCTCAGCTGAATGATACCACACACACACACACACACACACACACACACACACACACACACACCAGCATCCAACATGACCAGTCCCCAATCTGTGAGAGACAACCAGCACCATTACTGGGTTGAGCACATGCTTTGATGTAGTAGTCTGATGTCAAGCACTGTGGTCAAGGACCTCAGGGCTGGGCCCAGGTGGTCCATGTCAGGTCCTAGTTTGGCCACTTCCAGCAGCAGCTGTGTGGTCTTGGACCAAGGTGTCTCCCCTCACTGAACCTTAATTTCAGCTTCCCTAAAATGAGGCTGGGGTGTCTCCCCTCACTGAACCTTAATTTCAGCTTCCTTAAAAAAATGCTGGTAGTTATGTGGCTCTCAGAGTTGTTGAGAATTAATGAGACCGTGCTTGCTAGGGGCTGTTTAATAAGAGTCCTAAAAGAGTGTTATCTCCATCAAGACATCGGCACCATCTCCAGAACTGGCTGCACAGTTCAGACCTGGGAAATACAAGCAGCTCCCTAGAATTCTGCCCAGACATTTCAGTGCTGTGCCCTTTGAGAGGACCAGTCTCCCATATAAGACTAATGTTGGTGTCAAGGAGTAATGCCCAAAGTATTTAGCAAAAATATTTGGAACCACCTAACTGGGACAGATGCCCTGTAACAGCTTGCCTCCAGCCCTGTTGGAGTTAACAAGATGCCACACCAGCCCTTCACATGTGTCAGACTGTGTTACTCTCCCAGCCACCTGATGCCACTGTTACACCCCCCTCATGGGGGCAAGTAGGACTCAAATTACTCAGTCTTCAATGACTGGGTGAGGGCCTGACCCCAAGCTTGCCAGACCCAAAGTCCACATATTAGCCTGAGAAAAAAAAGCAATTGGGAGGAAAACTAGCCTTAAAAAAAAAAAGTCATGAAATATGATTGTGAATGTGTGAATAACAGGAGGGAAAATCCTGGGATTCTTTTTCTAGGGATGTAAAACATAAATAAAAAGCCTCCTTGAACCTTTACAGCAGAAAAAAAAAAATCAGTTGCACTCACTCACCATGCTTCAGGATTTGCCTCTTCCTGAGGTCATTCCTATTTCACCTGGTTATTCCTCGGGCTCTCAGTGAGCAGAATGGGTCAGAAATAGCAAATGAGGGACTGGAATCACAGCTCTGGGGGGGCGAGGCCC